TCTTTTCCCCCAGATTTGGGTGTGAGTGGAGAGCGCCGTGGCGGCGCGGCGGCGTACCCCAGACGGCTTCTCCCACACGCAACGCGGGGTAAGAACATCCACCAGCCCGGGAGGCGTAGGTCATCAATTTGCATCGGATGCCAGCTCGGGAGACGTCCAAGGCCAATCCGATTGCATCGCATTTGGCCCACGCCCGAGCCCTGGCTAGTCGGCGTCCTCGTTTCCTCTCCCGTCTGAGCCAGTGAGGGTGGTGCTTTTGGTGATGACGTGGTAAGGGAACGGCAATGATCTGCCTAGACCGTTGCAACGGCCTCTGGTTTTCAGGGATGGCAGGATGCAGGTGTGATGAAATGAAGATGGCGGGTGTTTGTTTACGCGTTTCTTCTCCTGCGATTGAGCTGCAGCAGCATTGTTGAATGTGACACCGATGCTTCTGAAGACTGGAGCTCTGATAAGCAAAATGCGACAGACAAGCTGCACGTTCTGAAAGGAGAAGCTCGCAATAGACTTTTCGCTTTTTGATGCTGTCTTGCAAACGGGATTGCGGCGTCCTCGCACATTGGACTAGCCAATGCTCGGCGCGACTGTGGAGGAATGCAGATCGGAATCCATTCCCTTTTCTCGTTTCGGGATGAAAAGTCGGCACTCGACATCGGCAACCGGCGCACCGTTGGTGCTCGAGGTTCATCTGCCTTTATCCGATGGGATGGTCCAGGCCAGAGCTCCCAAGGGTGGCAGCCATTTCTGCTTGGTGCCAGGGGTGGCCAGGTAAGCTGTAGCTCGGTCCTCCAATAAGACACCCTCCAGCAGCACCCATCCTGAGGACGAAATGCTGAAGGGCACACATGTCAACTGCCACATTGCAGCCGCAGGATCAACAGCCTTGAAGCCAAGTCTCGATGTTGGCGATAGCTTGTCGGTGGGAATGCGGTCGCGGCCAGCGCCAGACGGAGACACACGCCGAATTTGAGACATATCTCCGGGTTATCCGCCTGCGCATGTCCCAATCTGGCGTCCGAATGCTTCCTTCTGCAGGTCGAGTCGAGTCGAGTCTCAGCTGCCTGGATGGTCGACCTGGAGTACGCGTGTTTCTTGGGGCCGGCTTTCCCGCGCGCTGTTCGGCCGGTTGCGGTGTCTCAGTGGAGCAACGGAGGGGTCTAAGGGTCCGGGATATCCGATCCGGGCAGATTTATAATGATCTCAGGGCACCGTCGCAATCCTCAACAAATGCAAGTCGAGTCCCTCAAAAATGATATCTTGAACTGTTGAAAGATGCGATGGAATGGTAGCAGATGGCCCCTCGCAAAAGCCCCATATCGGTGTGACAGCCCTCGGACCGATTTGGATGCTGTCGCAATGTTGCTGCTTCAGGGAAGGGACGGAGGGAGGGCAACGGCGGCATTTGCCGTAATGCGAGATTCAAAAACCTGGGGTCCAAACATAAGCACTCTTCGAGTTACAGGCCTCTTTCCGTCTTCAGGTGCATCGCGGCTTCTTGCCTCGTCTGGGACGTTCCTTTCGGCCGATGCTTCTTGTGCTCTAAGACTCTCGGAGTTGTACAGGTGCCCGGCGGACCTTGCTACCTCGGAAAGTTGTCGTCCGGAACTCGTAACTCGGAATATCGTAAGCAGGCTGTGGGTATGCCGCAGACGGAGAGACGTAAGCAAAACCCCGTGGGACAAACGTCGACCGGATGGAGGTAAGCTTAACGGCGGCAGCACGTGGAGGCGGCCCGCGTCGTTGGACTGGGGCCGTCACACGGATCCGTCAGGCCGTATTTCTCGGGGGCCTCGATGTGCCATCAGGGTAGGCATGTTGTGTGGTCGATGGCAGCGATAGGAAGTCTCAAGAACCAGTTCAAACCCGTGTTTGTGCTCCCTGGTTCTCGCCAAAGGTGGCTGTTGACGATCATCGAGACAGACCAATGCGAGGGGGTTTGATTCTTCGATGGCCTTGTCGTAAGGCGTGACTCGGACACCCGCGCAGAAAGGGTGTCCTGGTATTTTCGGTCGAACACGTCGAGAAAAACCTTAGGTCCAAGGTTTGGTGTTCGACACGAGAACCAGACGATGTTTGCTTCGGCCGGGAGCCCGGTGGTCAAGCCGGTTGACCTGGGGCAGACCCAGCGCTCAGTGGACACCATCAATGCCCAGGCCTGGATCCACTCTGTCGGCTCGTCACCACGTGCCCACCAGTCGAGCGTGTTTCTTATCTGCTATCGCAGTTACCTAAGCAGATAGCCGAGAAAGATAACGCACCCCAGCTTTTCTATCACCGAGGTACGTACTGCACGGTCTTCCACTGAGGTACCTCAGTTTATTCGGTTCTCCTCCTCTCCTTCCTTCTCTTTCTCTGCGCAAATGGCATTTGTCCAGTGTCTTTTCCAATCCAATCCACACTTCTAATTCCATCGCCAACAGAGTCATGACGCACACATCAGCCGTTCCAGCCGATTGGAATCGGTTTGGAATTGACAGACTGCACCACCGTCGATGGCACACGGCCACACCTTGAGGACAATGCCAAAATCACAAGCATAATGCCACAAATACACCATCGCCTAGAATAGGAACACCCCGGCACCGAGAGCCGCCAGTCGTCCAATAGGGCCGCCATCGGGCACACAACGTCGCTTCCTCGGTGGAGATTCGCAATCAACCTAGGGCTCCTACGCGTCCCAGGGCTTCCTCAGGCCCTTCCTGCGGCTTCCAAGTCCCCAGGCGCCTCAGAGGCCCCCCCTGCCCGGGTCTTATCGCTGCCGCTGCTAAGACGCTGCCGCCCTGCGTGCTGCGTGCTGCGTGCTGCGTGCTGCGTGCTGCTTGGTAGGGGCCCCGTAGCCTGGTTGGGCGATGGACGCAGCGCACTGACTGGAGGCAGACTCGGTGCCCGACGTCATCGAGCATGGTGGCGGTCAAGTCCATCCCCGCCCGCCAGAGAGCTCAACGACGCACGCTGGCCGGCGCAGCTGCAGCAACAGTGAGGCGGCCGCACTGTGACGACAGCACGACAGATTCCAGTGTCGAGAAGCATTCCGCGGTTGAGGCTGAGGTAAAGAGGCCACGAAAGGGAGGGAGGGACAGATGAGACGCGGTGCGAGGTCACCAGAAGCAGACGCTGAGGGCGACGGACGAGACGTCCCGCGGTCCAAAAGTCCAGACGAGACAACTGACAGCCCACCCTCGCCAAACCCGCCGTCAAACGAGAGAATTAACCTCTTTCCGCCCATCCATCCGCCGACCGGCATCCCCAGCATCCCCCATTCTCCGTCGATCTGTTCAAGCCCAACAACGGGGTCGTGGTCCATGGATCACCCGGGGGCGATGGGCGAAGATTTCACCCTCATTTCAGTCTCTTTCCCCGTCGATGGCTGCCCAAGCGGCGACTGTCAGGTTCGAATCGCGAACAAAAGCGGGTTAATCAACTGAGGCTAAAGGACGCGGTGGACCGGGTCTGGAATGGCTGGAATGGAAGCGAAAAGCAACGACACGGGCCTTGGTGGGCTGCTGTCTGCAAGGAGTAGCCTTGTTGCTGCAGCCCCCGACTTCCCACCAAGTTTGGACGACGGTCGCAACGGCTCGATATGGCGCTGATGGCTGCTGTTAAGGCCCGGCAATCACTGCCCCTCTGTGCGGTGATGGCATTTCACGAACCGGAGCTTGTCTGACGATGAAACAGGCTTTGGTACTCAAGTTCGGACGCAGATTCGCATCCTAATTGGTGTCTTTTTGCGGCATGCGGGAGAGCAACGGTCCATCCCTCGTTGGCAGCTCTAACAGCCGGCATCTCTGCCCTACCACCCGTTCTTCCCACCACCAAGTTGGACCATCCAAACGCCAGACGCCAGACGAGCCGGGATCATCGCTTCAACGAGGCATCACCAACACCCACCATCCTCCCCGCTGCCACCGGCGTCGATTTTCCAAAGCAGCCCCTGCCCCGGCTTCCATCGTCAAAAAGCCTGCTTTGGCTCTCCACCAAGAATCTCCGTCGTGCCCAAAGACTAAATCTACAATTACAAAAACGCTTCAGCTCGCCCAGCCCCCTTCTTTTTCTCGAATGATCTCTTCTCTCAAGGACCCTTAAAGCGACCATAAGGCTGTCATCTCTCCCACCCCTGGAGCAGCAGCAGCAGCAACAGCAACAGCAGCAGCAGCAGTTCGAAAGACTCTTGTCGTCCAGTACGAGGGAGCAGCGTCGAGACCCAGGACTGTCCATCATCGGGTCTAGGTCACAGGTCCCGTTCGGTGAGGTCAGCTGGCATACTCGTGGGCTTTTCCTGGCCTTGCTTCGACTTCTCATAGGCCGGCTACCACCCACGCCTACCACCACACGAGGCGACTCTTGCTGGAACACCCAGTCATCCAGCCAGTCCCGTCGGTCTTGCATCACATCACCCGTTATCGAGCCCCATCGCTCGTCGGTCATCGGCCCAGCCAGCCAAAGGGGTCTCTCTGCCTCCCCCCGCGCCTCTCGCTCATCGCCGGAAACTCGCACTGCCACTGTTACAGTGTCGCAGCATCTGGACCCTTGGCCTTAAAGCAACTACGGTACTCGCACGCCACGCAACGCAGGGCGGCACCCACTATTCCATTATCCAATCCATACCCACACTGGACCACTGAACAAGGCGGGTCAACGGTCTTCACCGACACTACCAGCGCTATTGGCCCGGCTCGCTCGCGTTAGAGGGAACATTCCACCACTACGCAGCACACATTATCCCGCTTTTCCCCCTCTTCTCTCGCTCTTTCTCCCTTTTGAAGTGTCGTCATCGCTCTGAAATCTGGGATCCCGCAACACGAGCACTCACTCAGCATTTCTCCCGGATTCACCACCACGGACTGCTGTCATCACCCGACCATTCCACCGCCTAAAGGACACCGTCAGTAAACACCCCGTCCTCTAGCGACAACCACGTCTTTTCTGCGAATTTTGTGATACCCTAAACCGACTTTAATTCGTCTCCAAACCCACCCATACATACGTTTCAACTGCCCACAATGGCCGGCCGCGCTGAACGCTGGGACCGCGACCGCTTCATGTACGAGCGGGAGCGTGACCGCAACTACGGAGACGACCGCCGCTTTTTCGATGAACGCAGCCGCTTTGAGGAGCGCGACGACTACAGAGATTACCCGCCCCCTCGCCGTGGCAGGGAACACTCCGATGAGCGTTACGACCGTAGCGAACGTGGATCCCGCCGCGGCGGCTACGACGAGGAAATCGTTCGGGACCGCCGTTACTATGAAGAGGATCGTTACGCTCCTGGACCCCCTGGACCTGGACCTCGCCGTGGTGAGCCTTTTGATCGCGAATTCGATCGTCGCCTGCACCTTGAAAGAGAGCGCCGTAGCCCTTCTCCCGTCCGCCGCCCGACCATGGTCCGCCGTCAATCATCCCTCGACACTTACGACCGCAAACCCCTCCCTCGCTTCTGGGAGGAGCGCCGTGAGGAGTATCCGGTTCCTGTCCGCAGAGAAGACATCCGCCGCGAGGACTACAGGGCGCCGCCTTACGTCCCCATCCCGCTGCCCCGCAGCCGTCAGCTCGCTTCTGCGCCTTCCCAGCGCTACGAGGAAATCCAGATTGCCGAGCCAGGCTTTTACGGCGATGAGGAATACAGGGACATGCCCGAGCGAGTGAAGGAGCGCGAGGTCGTACGGTCGCGCAGACGCAGAGACCGCAGCAGAGAGTCCAAGGTCTCGAGATCCACCAGGACAAAGTCGCACAGAAGCAGCTCCAGGTCCAGCAGCACCTCAAGCAGGTCGACCAGCACCAGCGGTGCCACAACCATCCGCAGCGAGTACCCGAAGAAGGGCAAGACTCGTATCCCTGCCCGCCTCGTTTCCAAGAGGGCCCTCATCGACTTGGGATACCCCTACCTCGAGGAGGTGAGTTTTTTGTGCCGCTCACCGCATCAAACAGCCGACTAACGCCTGCAGGGTAACACCGTCATCGTTCTCAAGGCCCTCGGCCAGGACAACATCGATGAGCTCCTCAAGTTGAGTGAGGAGTACAAGCAGAGTCAGTAGCCTCATTTCAAAGTTCGTTGCACCTTTCTGACATGATGCAGGTGAGATGGAAATTGCCGCAGCTCGCTCTTCTGCCGGCAGAATCGAGGAGCGCCACGAGGAAATCTACACCATTCCCCCACCCGTGGCCGCGCTCCCGCCGCCTCCGCCCGCCTCTGTCCACGCTCCTCCCCCACCACCCCCCGTTGTAGTAGCACCTAGCGCGCCTCCCACGGTGATCGCTGCTCCAGCACCGCCGCCGCCGGCCCCCGTGGTTGTTGAAGCGCCGCCGCCACCACCCCCAGCCCCCGTCGAGGAGGTTTATGAGAGAAAGAAGACAACGATCGTTCGTGACGTCTCGCCTGCCCGCTCGTACACTACGACGACCTCAGGCACGACCGGCACCGTCTACGAGCGCCGCGAAATCAGTGAGGAAATCCCCATCGGACCCATGGCCATCGCCGAGCGCCGGCGCAGCCGCTCCCGCTCTCGCTCCCGTAAGAACATCCGCAGCGAGATCAAGGCCCTCGAGGCCGAGCTGCACGCACGCAAACACGGCCGCGCTCACTCCCACGGCCGCGAGCTCGTCCGCGCGGAGCAGATGCCCGACGGAGCCGTCGTGCTCTTCGAGGAGAAGGTCGAGAAGGTGGAGGAGCCGCGACGCGGGGTGCGGATTGAGAAGGACAAGAAAGGTAGGATGGCCATCAGCGTACCAAAGTACTACTAAGGTGCGCGTCATCTGTTGTACACCGGCGTCTTGTCGCAAAACATGTGGACTGACAATGGTCTCTTCAACAGGTCCTCCCCCGAAGCTCATGCGCGCCATGCTGGCGACCCTCACGTAAGGGCGCCACTCACCGCCTCGCTGCTTCGCGGCCCACGCAAATTGTATGAATATCACACAAGACGAGCTACAGACCTCATCTATGAAGAGACGGACCATTTTTGTTGCATTTATTTATACCGGAATCTGGGATCTGGCATGGCGATATCATACTACTATTATTACCCTATAGAAAAAAAGGACAACTGGTTTGGAATTTGGGACAGGATACATGTTTATGAGTATGGAACTTTTGGCGGCGAACCGACGCCCGGGCGGTTGCGATCGAGGGAAGGCCTGACGGGCTTTTCGCTTCGTCCAGGAAGACCTCTTTCTTACACGTCTCATAATGAATTTACGATTTTAAATTTCACTTCTTGCTGAAAGAGACATCGATTGTGAGCGATTTTGCTGAGACCGAACCTTGAGTGAGATCTCACTTGAGTTCCGGCACATCTCAGGTGAGATTCGATCTCACGTGAGGTACAGCGTACCTGGCATAGCGTGCGGAGATGTAGCCAATCAGTGCAGACGAACTGGAGGCACAAGGTAGTGTAGTTAAGTCACATCCGGTGGGATAGATATTTGACCTCATAGAACATCTGTGTCATATATTTGCGTCGCTACTGTATCTAATTTCCTTCCCAGTTCCTCATCCGTCTTGCTGCAACTCTTGGAACACAATTTGTCTAGTAGGAATCATAGGGTATATCGGGTCGACCTTGTCCCCAATCCCACTCTTGACATTGTCGCCGTCGCTGATAGCTACTGTGGCCGACTTTACGAAGCTCTGTCATCTCTCCCATGTGTTCCTTCCTAGGAACCTGATTCGTATCACGTCCAGAGCCGGGGTGCGAACTCGCGCTGACGATTTAGCACTAATTTATCGTTAGCAGTTGCATGGTGAGAAGTCTGGGTAGGAGGTCTTACGCAAGCACCAAACTAGAAGTCAAAAGTCAGCAATTGTTAGAACCGTACAGAGAACCTTGCAGTTTGGACTTACACCTGGAGCATCGCCTCCACCTTTGCTCTTAACCACGTTTCCATTGCTGTCGGTCACGGTGCAGGTTCCTGTCACGGTGGTGCATTGGCGGTGGACGGGGAAACCGGCAGCGAGACCGGGGTCCTCGGTGATCCAGTCGGGATACATGCACTGTGGCTCCAATTAGTGATCTAAGTTTCGTTTCCAGTTCGGATTGGGCTGGGGGGTGTGAGTCGTACGCAGTAGACATTTTGACCCTAGATAATGAGTTAGCGCGGCGTTGTAGAAAGCTTTGGAGTGAGGGACTTACGTTTCCGCAATCGTTGAGTTGAGGGACCTGGTCGGTGCCGTAGTTGCAGTACATGTTTGGATTATTCCATTGGCCGCGGACGACTGCCAGTGCGCCCAGGTATACGACGAATGAGATTGCGCGGAGGGACATGTTGTGTGTTGAAGGTGTTGTGTGAATAAGAGAGATCAGGAGTGAGAGTTGCGCAACTCACAAAGTCAGAAAACTCCAGATCTTATATCTAGAGCAGACTTTTAAATATAGCAACCGGAGTTAGTTGCAAGCACATCACAATGCTATTTCTATATTTTACTTTCTTGGTCAATCACCTAGACTTTCTCGTAGTTAGGCACAGCACAGCACTGATTCATGTCGTGGCAGGGTTCATGTTTGCAGATCATGCCGCGCGCCCAGAGCTTCTAGAAAACTACACATTGAGAAATACCCGCCGAGAAGCACTGTTACAAGACAAACCACATATAGTTGCTCTCACTAGCAGTTGACTCAGTGATTGACGGGAACATGACGAACAAGTTGCGAAACTCAGGTTCTGAACATCCAATGGAGTAGCAGCCTGTCACCTGAGTAGAATCCAATACAGTGGTGCATGTGGTCTCCTGCGGTTGATCCAGAAGCAAGAGTTGTCAGACTGGTTGCGCAAAGTCCTCGTTTGGTGTCAAGAAGACTACAACCCCCAAAAATGAAGACGACAACATTACAAAAGCTTCAAGGACGACCACTCCCCCAGTCACCGCCCGGCAGCAAAGCCGAGCGCCCAAAACGGAGACCCCCCCTCCGCGCACGTGACGTCCAATTTCCGTCCCGTCTCATCCCAGTCCACCCTCACTCTATTTTGCTTCAACGCTCCACCCTCACCACTCTACCCCACACACGCTGTGCGGTTCAATCGGCACCTGTTCGGACGACGGGGAGGCAGAACGATGCGATGAACCCCCCTTAACAGAAAGCTTCTCTCAGGTTGAGACAATCATTGCCGTGTTCTTCAAAGAACTGCTTAACTCCGCGATGTTGAGATGTAGAATGCAGCTCGCAGACGCAGGGCGCCGGCCTACCCATCCTGCCAGGGAAAAAAGAAACCTCCTTCGCAGCGCAATGCCGGCGCCTTTCCCAACGGAGCCCGTCCGAGCACTCCGGAGCCCACCGTACCCCCGATCGCTTGCTTCCGTGTAAATTGAGGGGGCCGCCATCTGGGGCGACGTGAGATGTAGATTAAACATTTCCCCCTTGGTGATATTCCTTTCATCGTTTATTAATCCCCCAGGTTTCCCGTCGATCTTCCTGAGCCTATCACGCATCCCACCGGCTTCTTTCGTTTTTTCGTATCGATTTCGTATCGGACGCCGTTCGTTTTTATTTAGACATTCATTCGTTTCTGTGAGGTCGTGTTTCATTGTGCTGGGTTCACGATGAAGTCTCAAATCCTGACAACAGGGCTGCTCGTCGCGGGCGTGAGTGCCGCCGCGACGGAGAAGAGAGCTTGCAGCGCCACGGCAGAGTGGCCTGGCTTCGCCGGCATCAAGCACGCCTTCGTCTTGTAATTCGGCCCCCATCTCTTAGACGCCACAATAGTTAGACATTCTTGCCCGGAATACTGACCTCGCAAAATCACAGCGGCGACTCCTACTCCCAAACAGGCTTCAACACCTCCCTCGCGGCCCCCTCCGCCGCCAACCCGCTCGGCAACCCGTCCTACCCCGGCTGGACCTCGTGCAACGGGCCCAACTGGGTCGACTACCTCACCGTCAAGCACAACGCCTCGCTGCTGTACACGTACAACCTCGCCTACGGCGGCGCGACCGTCGACGCGGCGCTGGTCAAGCCGTACGCCGACACAGTCCTCACGCTCAAGGACCAGGTGTCCGGGCTCTTCAACACCTCGTACGCCTCGCGCACGGCGCCCGCGTGGACCGGCGCAGACACCATCTTCGCCTTCTGGATCGGGGTCAACGACATCGGCAACTCGTACTGGAACGGCGCCGACTCGACGGGTCCGCTGAACGACAAGATCGTCGGCGTGTATGAAGGGTTGGCTAAGGAGATCTGGGAGGCTGGCGGGCGGAACTTTGTGTGGTTGAGCGTGCCGCCGGTGGACCGCACGCCGATGCTGACTGCGGAGAGCGCGGACGCGCAGAAGCTTTGCAAGGAGGACGTGGCGGATTTCAACGGCAAGATTGCCACGATGGCGAAGAACGCGACGGGGTGGGAGGGGGTGAATGCGTGGGTTGTGGACGCGAACGGGGTGTTTACGGGGGCGATTGAGGAGCCGGGCAAGTTTGCGAGTACGGCGGGGTTGAAGAATACCACGGCGTATTGCGAGGCGTACGAGAAGTAAGTTCTTTTGATCCAGAGATGAGATGGGAGATGGAATGCTAACTTGAGGGACAGCGGTACTGATGCGCAGGATACGCTTATTGCGAGCTGTGGGGTGCCTGTGAATGAGTATTTTTGGCTGAACACGCTGCATCCTACTTATCCCATCCACGATGCGGTTGCGGAGACGGTTGCGGATGCGTTGGTTGCAGGACCGAACGTTTGCTGAGGCTGAAAGAAGGAAAGATTGAGATTCTTGTAGTTACTTTGACAGATGTGTACATACGGACAAAAAGGAATGCAGTGCTTGTCATTAGATTATGCGGTGTAGCGAAAATAAGCTTGCTTGCAAGCGATCTCATGTTGACTGGGACTCGGCCCGAGAGGCAAATATCAAACCCGCCATTGTGGTACCCGACATGTTTCTCTATTAAGAGAAGTTCGAAAACGGCCGTATGGTCGATATGAGTGGCCTCATTCTTCGCCTTACAATGCCAAATATGGCAGACGCGAGGTGGACCATGCCTCAAGAGTGATCACCAACACAGGCGAGGGACCTGGTCATGCGCACGCGGGGCGCAGTGAGAAGCTGAACTTGGCATAGGACGACTTGGACTTGAAAAGCAGTGAATTGGTTAGACTATGGGCTTTATGGGTCCTTCGCCAGCTGCTACACTCGGTTGGAACACTCTGTTGGTGGTCGATATCTTGTTGGGACCGGGGTTTGGATGGCACGATGGAAGGGCGAACCCATGAGGCCAGTAAATAAGACCCAACCAACGAGCCAAAGATACCCCCGGTAACACTCATGATAGCCCGAAAAGGTCTGAAGCCCCAGTCATATCCTTGCCACAATATGCAAGTGCATGGTCCGTTAGCAGTGCGGTCCTTCTTTGTCCATGTCGTGTTGTCTTGCCCCAGGCCACCAGCTTGGCCACCGCCGAAGTACATACTGAGGCCAACCCCCGTTGGAAGCCCCCCGACCCCATACCTGTCTGTTTGGCACCTTTACCCTCCCTCTCCTGGAGTTGTCGGCGCTTGTGCTCGAACCCGAGGGGAAAAGCCCCCAACTCGCTTCTTGTCGCGATGAGGGCCACCGCGGTTATTTACGTTCTCGTCGCCTGGGCGGTTCGCTGCGCCTTAACACAGGAGCTGGAAGACATCCCGTACTGCTCCCGGATTTGCTTCACAGTTGGAAACTCTGAGTGGTGCAGCCTCGGAAAGACATCCAACTGCGTTTGCAGACAAAGCATCGCCAGCTACTACCGCGGAAAGTTCAAGAGCTGTATAGAGAGTAGCTGTCCAGGAGACGTGACGTTCAAAAGTAGTTATCAGTCCTGATTAACCCCCTCTAGTCGTTTCGAGATTGTGATTTGTGGTGCTGACAAGTCCTTGCAGAGGCCTATGCCGCCTTTGCAGCGTACTGCGTCGCAAATGACTGGATAGATGCCGCCTCAACAGCATTGGGCGAAGCAACGACGGTCACCATCGGACCAATCGTCATAGCCACACTGGCGACTACAGTAACAACAGGCTCTGGTGGCTCTACGGCGACTATCACATCGGACATCACTGCAACAATAGGAGAAACTGGGCCATTTACGACAGGATCAGCGACAACTGCGAACCCCTCTACTGAACCGACGGCAGAAACGGCACCCACGACCGACGAGAGCGACAGCAACAATGACTCTTCTAATGCATTGTCAGTAGGTGCAAAGGCAGGTGTCGGAATTGGAGCTGCGCTTGCGGTGGCTTTGGTGGCTGTTATTCTGTTTATCTGGAAACGGAAACGGACGGCTGCGTCAACCGAAAAAGACGAGGAATCGTCAGTCCCAGAGCTCGATAATGGCGACATCTCTAACAGACATGAACTGGACTCGAGCACGATGACTACTGGGCTGGACAAAACGCACTCAACGGCATTCTCAAATCATCAAGGCATGGCTGAGCTGGACGCAACCACTGCGTTGATCAAAGGACAGACGAGGCTTGTTGAAGGCGAGGTCACGCCTCCAGTGGAACAAGGCGCAGTTTCGCCGGAGGCTGGATCCATGATCTCGCATCCTACACCGTCACTGCCCCCAGCAACGAATATAGCACAGCCTATGATCGGAGATTATATCAATTCCAACTCGTCGGAACCGTCACTTCCGAGCACGGCGGAGTTGGAGCACCTGCTTCACGAGGAGCAGCTCTTGAGGGAGAGAAGGCGGACGTTAGAGCAGCTGCAACGGATACAAGAGGATGAACTTGCTTTAGGAGAGCGTATAAGGTTGTTGAGACAGAGGCATAGTGGCCAATCGTCAGAGGGTGGGGGATAATGTCGATGTCGGGGTTTGTAACCGCGCGGTGGTCCACACCAGCATCACATTGAGACTGAAGTCCTTCTGAGATTCTTGAATAAGTGCTTATGGCATCAGCGCCGTGGAAATTTCATGCTGGGTGGTGGAGGCAACTTGTGAGGGCGAGGCAACCATTTCGAAGATGGTTATTAATATTTGACTGATGACGTGGACGCGGTGATGATGAAAGCTACAGGAAGTTGCCACTACTTGTACATAACTGATGTTAGCATGTTGCGTTCGTATTACTGTGAATAATAATACCATGGAACGTTTGGTCAATCATATACCACCAAGGTCTTTTCCTGCCTACTTCAAGTTCCCCTTTAGTCCCCCACGCCGCGCACCCGCGAATCCCTCAGTGCGCGGGACTGTAATACCAACCCCTTCCTTAATCTCTTTTTGGTACATTATCACCTAAAAGTGGTTTAAATAGCAGCCAAGGCCACATCATTTGACAGGTTGCCGAAGACATCTCCGGTGTCAGCGTAGTTGACTCAAGGGACGCTTTCGTCATTCCATAGAGTCCCAGAAACAGACTTTGGGCTCAATAGCATACTAAAGAAGTTCAACTTGTCATTTGGCACGTCCAACACATACTCCAATCACACTCCGGGACTGGGCGGAGCAATCAAGTTAGTGGTTGACATCTCGTTGGGACCGGGGTTTGAATGGCCCGATGGGCAGGCGAACTCCATGAGACCTGAAAATAGACCCGACCAACGGACCAAACAAAAGAACGACCACATTCTTATGATTGCTTGAAGTCTCATAGGTCTAATGCATCCTTGTATTCTCATGGAAAAATGCATGTTCCGTTGGCTGCACCGCCCGTCCCGCTCGTGTTTCTTGCCCCCAGGCAGCAGGCCACAACTTTGGCCCCCGCCAGGATACATACCTAGCACAGCGCCAGTTCGACTCACTCCCTTTGTACCTCCTGTCTCTTGTTTCTTTCGCCCCCTAGTCTATGCGCATGCTCATTGTTGGCGCATCTGCTTGCAGCAACTTGATGCTTGAGCTACACGCTCAGCTGGATCGGACCTCTTGAGTCTTATCCCTCCGTCCCCAATGAAGGCCTTCCTTTTCACCGCCGCGCTAGCCATACGCTTTGCCAGCGCGGTCAATGGAACGACATGGCGGACCAAAATGCCATACTGCGCGCAATACTGCTTCGTGACTGGCGGCGATTCCTTGACAAACTGTCAACTGGGACTTGATGACGAGTGCATATGCACTGAAAGTACGGATGACGTCCTGCGTGCGGTTATGAAGACATGCGTTGAAATCAAGTGTAAGCGATTCAACCGAAAGTTTCCAGGTCAGTTATCATCCACATGACTGGCTCTTGGAGTTAAAGTCATTGCGTTTCGTTGGTCGAGTACCTATGGATGATTGAGCTCACAAGCCCAGGGGATATTTGGCCTATTTTTGCCGAATTTTGCGTCGCAGAAGGCTACCTCGATTCTTCCGAAACAGCGCTGCCTAGTAGTATGACAGCTACAGCCGATACGTCAACCGTTACATCGGCGATAGTGATAAACACTTAATCAACTACAACAACTGGAATAGACACGACGGAACCGACAAGCCCCGCCGCAGAGTCCAATTCTTCAGGCGGCAATGACGTTGACGCCTCCTCTTCGAATAGGCTTTCTCCAGCTGCGAAGGCAGGCATTGCAATCGGGGCTACTCTGCCCATAATAGTAGGCGCCGTATTACTCGCTCTATGGCGCAAGAGAAGGAAAGGAATATCGCCTGACAAGGATGGAGAGACCGCAATGCCAGAGCTTGGAAGCGGCGACAACGCCAACAGACATGAGCTGGGCCCTGAATCAAAGCTGTTCGGGACGGGTAGCACAGCGCTAGCAGAGCTTGAGAGTGGGCATGTCATGGCGGAGCTAGACGGACCCTCATGCCTCGTCTACGGCGCGGAAACGAATAATACGGGGGACGAAACTAGAACAACGGCTGAGCTAGATGGCACGTCACCAGGGCCAGAATCTTCCAGCTGAGGAGGAGTTGCGACGTAAACCGGATGATGAAATTGCTTTAAGGGGTCTTGAAGCAAAGGCAGAGTAGCCAATCGGCGGGTGTTTGAAAGCGATAATTGTGTGGTGGATTAGAAATGTTCACGAGCCCACAAGTGCGCGGTGGGTTTTTGGTAATTGCTTGTTTCGGGGATCCTTTGAAGTTCCCCATGAGGATTTCCGCAGCTTTAATCGCACTGAACGCAGGAGCCAATTGAAGTATACTTCCTCTCTTATTTTTGGCATGATTGTCAGCGACAAAGCCGTGTTGCTTGTCAAATTCGACTCTAAGGAAGAGTCCAATTGCCCCTCTATAGTTGAATAGGGCAGCTAGGTGCAGCGGCGTCCGTCTGTCCTCATCTTGAACATCTACATCAATGGGTGCAAAGAGTTCTATTCTCGTTGCCAAGGACCCGAGAAAATATGATAGAGCCTGTGGAACAATCCAAAATGAAGGGAAGCACATTGTTGAAAGATCTTAGAAAGGTGTCAAAAAGTCTGAGGAGAAATCCAAAGGCCGGGCTGCGAGCTACTGGAGAGTCTCAGCATATATAATTATTTCCAAGTATGCTACCTTTGTATTCTCACTTAAAGCTGTTCTCTACTGGATCAAATCGATAAAGCTGTGGGGTTCATGTTCCCGACCAGCCTGTCAGCATCCAAAGAAGCCTGAGAGGGGATGCACACTTGGTTGGACTTGGTCGCTAAACAGGTCTCCATTGCAAGTCTGATAACTATAAAATGGCCCCGTCATCCACACCTCAAGCGGATTACGGCTTTAACCTCTTGTGACACGGAACCGATGACTTTCTCTCCCGGCCTTCATTCTGCCAAATACCGCTTCCAATTATTTTCCTTGGGGTCCATCCGTTTGCGACCCATTTTCGTATTTTCCACTGCGCCAACTGACTTTTCCCACTTAGGATTGTGGGTCTCAATAGTAGTTCTGCCTGCGATTTCACGGATCAAAACCGAAGGCGCATCATATCTCCTGGTAGACACATATCGGCAATCAGGTCACAGTGACGGAACATGAATGCCGACTTCCGACAAAAGCCCAAAGACCTCTCCATTTAATCCAAGCACTGGAGAACCTCCAGTCAGTTGATACGCCATGAACAATAAAGGAAACGAGCCCGCAGACATACAGCCACGGGAGTTTTGCTTGAAAATACTGGAGAAACAACCAGACAATGAACTGCCAACCCGTACATTCAACATCACGACGGAAAAGGTGGAAGTAACTTTTGGAAGGATGGGCAGGTACGCCACCGTCAGCTACGTTTGGAATCAATACGACGACGAGACGCTGAAAAGAGAATTACGAAGATGCTTGGAAAGTACGGGAATCCACCTGGTTTGGGTTGATAGATGGTGCATCAATCAGCAAGACGCTGCTGATAAGACTATCGAGATACCTAAAATGGCCCAGTACTACAAGCAGGCGGCCCTAGGATTATGTCTTGTACCCGAGGTGGAGTGCCTGCCTGGCACATGGGGCTTCAAGGAAAGCAAAAAGAAAGGGACGGAAAAGATGATCGAGATAAGAACGAAAGTGGGCAACAGTCAATGGATGTCGCGGGTGTGGACATTTCAGGAGGCCGAACTGGGACCGAACCCTGTTCTTGCAAAAGACGGAGACCTTTGGCCGCTGCCAGCGTTGCTAGGGATGAGATGGGCAACGAAAACAGAGGTCGGAGGCGATGCAGATCCTTTTGGATACACTCTCACGATGGCATACAGGCAATCAGCAACGAGAGATCGATTTGGGTTTCAAGAAGCGGTCCAGGCCATAATTAGTATGGGAGGACGAGGAAATGAGACCAAACAAACACTTGGTAGCTTACTGGCCCGGACGATCTTCAGGGAATGCACGGTGGAAGTGGACAGGATATATGGGGTGCTTGCACTGGCTTCAGATGCGGCACAGGTAAAGATTGACTATCAGCGGACACACGGCGAGGTGGTATCCGAATTAGTTGGAACGGGACTACTCCCGATTCATTTCATAGAGGGAGACTCACCAACACCAGCGGTACAGGGCAAAAGCTGGCACACCACTTCATCGCGGAACTCGTTTAACGTGTCCACATGGCAGGGAGTTTTCTCGCAAATGCGCCACGAAGGGTTACCGATAAATGGAAGGGAGGTGAGATGCGATAAACGGGGACAGCTGAAATGGAAAGTTGGAAGGAGAAGATACATGGCGATGTCAGATGGCCCTTGGGAGGCTGGGGTGACATATTTGGTAGCCAACATGTGCGGAAGAAACCAGCGTGAGCAGACACAGCAATGCAAGTGTCTGGAGCAACCGACGTGGCTGGTTCTTACCGGCCAAAGAATCGGTAGTAATGCGTGGCACAAAACGAAAGCAGACCTGATAGAGACCAAGGATAGAAAGACACTAGGGTGGAAGACGAAGGACGGGCTAAAGGAATGGGTAGTAAAGTGAGAACTACTTGAAGGGCTCTAATGTGTAGTGATCAAACGGTACGGCTCACCAGGATAGTAGGTTGCTGGAGAAGAAATATTATCGTAGACACCAGAATAACCAGCTTTCGGCTTTTTTCCCATCATCTACCCCTCATTTGAATCTCTTGTATGACCTGGGCTTTTCGCAACTAGATCAATTATCTTGATGTATCTCGAATTTGTAGGTCACTGTTGAACACGTATCTGCTCCAACTTCCAAAAGCATGTGTAAGACATGGTTCGAAATGAAATTGTTCCAAGTGTCAATTTGGCGTCGAATATGTGTGCGTATATATGTACAATCATATATGCCATGTGTAAGAATAAGTAAATACAAAATGAATTATGTCCACAGAATGTCCTATGCAGGTGAAAGAAAGCCCTATACCCTCTCGACAGGCACAATCACATGCCCGTCCTCCATTTACCAAAAACTGCTTAGAAGCTGAGAGTCTGGCCAGCAGTGCCAACAACCTTGCT